AGAGATGCTGTTGGAGGACAGGGATGTAAGTGTGAGATGAAGTGAGTGAATAGGAAGGCGATTTGTGTTTATATCAATGTATGTATATTGAAAGGCAACGGTGCTTATAGTGAAAGTAAAAGTAGTAGTAGTAGTAGTAGTACTAGTAATAGTCAGAGTATTGGCACAAAATTGTAATTCATTTACTTAATAGCATTATTTTAGCCGCCAATGGGCAATGAAAACTTCGGGGCACTGGTATGTCAATGGTATCTATATGTGTGCTATCTATCTATCTCTATCTTTCTCTCTTTCAGTTGTAAATTATTTTCGTTGAGCGGCTTTTGTTTGAATAGTTTATTACAACAATTGAAAACCCAGTGAAACACACATACAGTATGAATGACTGACACACACACACACACACACACAATACAATTGCTATCAAATATTTTTGTTTTTATCCAAAACCGTATTTAAACTAATTTATAGTCCAATTGTAAATACAATTAGCATTTTATAGTATTTATAAAACTCTCACTCAGTTTTGTGGGTTAAATATATGTAAATATTAGGACTACTACTACTACTACTGGTAGTACCAGACCTACCGTTTTTCAAATTGTATTATATATTTTTACTGTACTGTACTGTCGTAATAGTCTATAAATACTGTATAAAGTATATATACATTTGGTATACATTTGATAATATTGACAATATATACAGTATATAAAGTCTATTTATATACTGTATATATATGTATACACTGTACTGAACTAATTATTACAATAAAAGCAAAGGAAATCAACTATAGTTTTGATGACAGAGAGAGAGAGAGAGAGAGAGAGAGAGAGAGAGAGAGAGAGAGAGAGAGAGAGAGAGAGAGAGAGAGAGAGAGAGAGAGAGAGAGAGAGAGAGAGAGAGAGAGAGAGAGAGAGAGAGAGAGAGAGACTTTTAATTTAAATATGAAATATTTGCAGTAATCATAATGAGTTTTCCCATAAGATTTCAACCATTGATTACTTGTACTGTACTGTACGGTACCGTACAATATGTTGGACGGCTAGCAAACATGAGAGAAGCCCAGGAATATCAGACCTCACAAACCTCTACTAAAGTTAATCCCTGTCCACAAACACACACACACACACACACACACACAGTTTGATTGAGAGTTGACTGTACTGATTAGTATTGGGATAAAAACTAAAAACTTTTTAATTTAGTTAAAAAAAACATATACACACAAAATAAATATTGTTATAATTAATCAATGAGTTTAAAATCATATATTATTATCATCATTACTGATGATGATGAGCACAAGTAGTTTGTTGTGTATGTATGTGTGTGTTATCATCAGTACATTATGGTCTATATGTCCTTTTTTAAAAAAAAAATAAATGTCACCCATACAAATGCTAATACAAATTGTAATGATATTAACCATTAATTACATTTTACAGCTTAAATATATATTGTATTATAAAGTAAATTAATGTTTTTTAAGTAGAAAAAAATTAACTTTTTTTTAAAAATAAAAATTCTCTACAGATATGTATCAACACTACTGTATATAACAAACAAATGATCATTAATTTTGATTAAGTTTCTCTCCAAACGTAAGAAAATATTTTTAAATAGTTTTTATTTGCTTGAAAAAAGTTAATGATATTAATAATAATATATATATATATTTTTTAAAAAATAACTTTAATTTATTAATAAAACTTAATGTAAATATTATTATAATATAATGTAATAATGCATTCATAACTAATGAATTTAATAATAATAATAATAATAATGTTTTCTCTAAGTTAGTATAACTTTTAAAAAAAATTTATTTATTTATTTTGTTTGACAACACATTCAACATAATGATAGATATTTTTTTTTTAAAAAAGCAAATCATTTGAAAAATTATTTTATCAGTTCATCAGTTATACAGTACATATCCAGTCAATTGATGGTAACCATAGTCTGAAATATATATATATATAAAGAAAAAACAAATCATCAATTCATATGATATGGTTAGGTTAGGTTAGAGGACCATTAGACACACCGATAGTTACTTTATATATAATATACAGTATATATACTTACTGTACTGTAAAGTGTATATACATTTCCATACCTTTACAGTATATACTGTATATAAAACAGTCAGACAGCTATGTATATCATATATATGTATATTATATATAAGTTTAAAAAAATACAAAAAAAATGTTGTTTCAGTCAAATATGTTTGTATCCATTAATTAGGATTTCCACTTCAAAAAATACATATACTTATACATTATATAATTTATATATAAACTTATATATATATATATATATATATATACTGTATACTGTAGTCACCGAAAATTACATATATATATATGATTTGTATATATGTGTGTATAGTTTATTTTGTGATATATTTTATACTAAAGTACTGTATATACTGTATTATAAATGATATCAACATTTTTTGTTAGTGTATTTGTTTGAGTTGCCTATCATGAGAGTGAATGACAAGAATTTAAATACAGAATAATTATTCTTAAGGTTTAGTCGACTCTCTTATATGCTCTCTCTCTCTCTCTCTCYCTCTCTCTCTCTCTCTCTCTCTCTCTCTCTCTCTCTCTTTCTCATCTCTCTCACACTGATTAGTAGTGATTTGCTATGAACTCAATGGCAATCAATTTTTTTTATTTTGCTTAAAAAGAGAAAAGATAAGGCCTTTAATCTTATGGTTTTAGTTTAAAAAAAATAAAATAAATAATGAAATGCAAAATAACGAAAAAAAACGATTAATGAAATGACAACAACAACAACATCATCAACAACACAACACAACAACAACTTCAATGAATTTAATGAATAGACAATAAAAATGTTATATAAGGTATGTATTGTATAGATATATATACTGTATATTTAAGGCAAACTAATCTGTTTTCATGTGATATATTAGTCGAGAAACTTAAAACATTAAAAAAAATGTTTTGCTTTATAATCACTATTTTTTCAAAAAAAAAATGTATAACAACATTGTGTGTATATATATATATATATAAATTACTATATCTATCTATATATACATAAATAGATAATTTATATAATTTCAACGCTAATAAAAACCATAGACAATTGTAAGCTATATTTAGTAAAAATATGATTACATTTATTTTATAAGATAACAATACATTATATGATATAATTTATGAAAAAATTATGAATATATAATTTTGCAAAAAAAACAAATACTGTATTGTATTATACAGTAAAATGTAAAACAAAAACATATTACAATCTGTGATATATTACATAAAACCAAAAAAGGTATATACAGTATAAGCCAAATGTATTACTAAAACTAATATATAGAGTATAAAGTATAATATGCATACTAAATAAGGTATACAATACCATGAGCACAGTTAGTCAAAACACACAAACACATACACACATGTTATCTATATTATGGGTATAGTTGTTGTATTATATAATAACAATTTGCACAGATATTTTGCATATAATGCCTCCTAATATTAGTTAGTGGTCTCTCTCTCTCTCTCTCTCTCTCTCTCTCTCTCTCTCTCTCTCTCTCTCTGTTTACTAATGATAATCAACCAATGAATAGAATAGAGAGAGAGAGAGAGAGAGAGAGAGAGAGAGAGAGAGAGAGARAGAGAGAGAGAGAGAGAGAGAGAGAGAGAGAGAGAACCGTAAGATAATATGGAAATGAGGAGAACTGGCGGTAATTATTAAGGAAATGCTGAGCACAAGGATTGATGAGCTGATGGGCTTACAGTATATACATGCAATCAAACACAGTTGTATGTGTTTGCATATAAAGCGTTGAACGTATAAATGAATTAATTATTATTATTTTTTTTGGTCGACAAATACAATATACATAAAAATTTTATTTATTTATTCAAATAATGAAAAACACGTAAAGTTAGTCTGTATGCCTCATCTCTCTCTCTCTCTCTCTCTCTCTCTCTCTCTCTCTCTCTCTCTCTCCCTCCCTCCAGAAAAAGTTATAGATATATATAGTTAAATAGATAAATAAAAATATTTTTAATTGTTTAAATTTTTTTATAAACTAACAAAAAATTCTGTAAAAATTTTACAAAAATTACATAAGATTTCAAAAATTAGTCTATTTTAATAAAAGAAAAAAATGTTTAAATAATATTTTTGTCTCCACTAGAAGGCATTAGTAGTATCTTAGGCCTTATGTTTGAGCACCGGTAGATACTGATAACAGGTTTAGACAGCAGCAGCACTAGTAGTAGTAGTAGTTGTGATGAGAGGTTGCGCACCAATACCAGGGAATAATGTGAGGAACAGAGAGGAGAGCCTAAGCTATATGTCTGTGAAGAAACGTTAGCCTAAAACTTCAAATCAGTCGTTGTATTGAATGCTAAGCTTAAAGCCGTACCTCAACTATACAGTACAGTACAGTACAACACATTATAAAACAGTGAATGCAATGCTTATATACAGTGAATATCTTCACAATGTATTCAACAAAATTGTAAGAGTTTTATAGATATATATATATTGTGTTTATATAAAAGTGTGTTTTATGTGTTGAATCTTATAGACAGAAGATTATCATAAAAAACAAAAATAAAAAGGATTTTGTGTTCAATAATGTTTTAATAAAAAAAAAACTTTTTATAATTATAATAACTATTATAATTATTTTTAAAGTGTATTTAATGTATAAATAATTTTTTTCCCAAAAAAAAAATTATTACACATATATATAAATGCACTACAATTGTTTCATTGGATATTTGATGATTGAATATATAATGGATTAAAAAATAAATAATAATATCATATAAATATATTGTTTTATTTAACAATTTATTTATTGTGAATCTAATAATAATAATAATAATAATAATAAAATTCATGGATTAAATTAATGTCTAATAATAATTGAGTGGTTTATTAATTGCAATTAAGGATTGATTGAATTTGCCATCAGTTTTAACTAAATTTATAAAAATAATTGAACTATAGTTTTGTGTGTATCAACAACAAAAAACAAAATAAAAATGACCATGATAATGGGAACAGTACCATCGATTCACATACTGGTGCTCACCATCATTATCATCGCATCAAACGGTGTTGTTATACACGGAGAAAATAAAGGTATGTTTCGATTGTATAAATATTATTTAAAAAATTAAGTGTTTTTTTTATTAAAAAAAATTAGTAATTTTTACTTTAAAAAAGATAATGCAATGAATTTTTGTTGTTATAGTTGTTGAGTGAATTAATACATAATATATATATATATATATTAAAATTAATAGTAATTTTTGTTTTATTACTGTATTTTCTCAAATCTCTATTTTATCCAAAAAAATTTTTTTTTTGTATTTAAAATGTGATTTTTGTGTGAAAAAAATACCTGAAACTTGATATCATATGTGTGTTGTATTGTATTTAGTGTATACTATATATATCATATACCATATATATAAAAGCAATGATCACTTTGACAAATACCAGTGCCCTTTGGAAAAAATAGCCACAAATTTATATATAATGACAATAATGTTATTAGTAGTCACACACACACACACACCTACAACACTGGACAGGGATAGAGGAAAAAGTCGACTTAAGTATACACACCTGTGGTTTACCTATGCATACAAGGAAAAGGGTAGTTAGCATTTTTACTGGCCATCATTTTTTTTGTTGGTTAAATGTTATACATTATACTACCACAAAAATTGGGGGTCAGTTTACTTTCCAGCCATCATCACCACTAGTGCTAAATACTATATACAATAGGTATCCATCTCTGGTGACGACTAATCTCTCCATTTATTTATTATTATTTGTCCGGAATTGGTGTGTATTGTTTGTATGTATGTATGTGTGTGTGTGTGTGTGTGTGTAAGGTATATGTGCCCCAAATGTGTTTGTCCGATAGTTATACGGTTGTGATACTATACTGTCAGTAATACATTTTTCAGTGAAAAACTGTGAAAAGCGCACACACATAGGCTTTTTTTCGGCCAAATCTATTGTCCCTGTTCAATCAGCACAGGGCTAATATTCACACCAAGCGATAAATGCCATCAACAATAGTGAGAGAGATTTGACTGAAAAAAAAATCAAAATCAAAAGAGAGACCAGATTTTCAACACCTCTAAGCTGGTAGGCTATGGCTTAAGAGCAATAAATTCATAGGGATTTTGTGTATATGTGTGTGTGTTATATCAGCCGTTCCTCACTTTAGTTGCCATTACATATAGCCATAACCCACAGGCACTTTGCTGGCTATATATACTGTATATATATGTTGGTTGTGTGTGTGTCCATTGTTACCGGTGTTGTCCACACCGACATCAGATATATATATATATATATCGATACAGTATACTATACCTACAATACATATCTATTGCAACAACAAAAATGTATGTTCATAGCGGGGGCACCCGGACTATACAATAAAGAAAATGCTATACTTTCCCCAATAAATCGTTTAACCTAAATTGGTCCATTTTGTCAAACGCAACCATTGTGTGCTAAAACTAGTGTGTGTCCATCAATTCATATGTATATATAAATTATATTGTACTGTATATGCGTGTGTGCTATGTTGAGCTCATACCTACCAAACATATTACTCGGATATATATATATATATACATATTGTGCTGGCAAATTCATTCAATACAATTAGACTTATTCAACTTAACAACAAAAAACTATACTAGCTCAAATTGTACGGTTCACTAGTCACAAACATATTAATGTATACATATATCAATATATGAAACTTATATACCGGTGCAATTGAGCTTAACAATTATATACCGGTACTACCAGTGCAACCAAAAATATGTTACCATTTATTATTATTATTGTTGAATATAACAAAAAAAAAGAAACTAAACAACAAAAACTACATTTTCTGCTATTAGACATCAAAAATAAAATAAAATTATAATTCATTCAAATATTTTTAGTCTCTACCTCTCTATTGTATATCAATTTTCAAATAAATATATACAATATGTATAGTAATATGTCTGTATATTTTTAATAGTATTGCTACCAAATAATAATAATAATATAATACAGTATTACAATATGGAAACAAACAATACTATCAATAGTATCCGATATATTAGTTTCAATATACAGTATAATATACTGTATAATAACAAAATTTATATTAACTAAACTATAACTAGAAATATTTTGGGTTTACATTTCTTATATATTAATATATATTAAGATATATATAAATAAATTGTTTTATTTTTTTTTTGGTGTACCTATCAATACAATTTAGACCAACAAAAATAAAGATAAATTAAACTTTAAGAAATAACAACCAACCAAACAAAAAATTGTAATCAATTTTATATATATACACACAATATGTGTGCACTATTACTTTTACTTTTTTATGCCACTGCCAGCATAATTTAAACACACACACACACCAAAATAAATATATATATACCCATATCATAGATATATATATATATATGACACATACCAATAGGTTTTTTCTCGCATTTATTATACCTTTTTTTGGCAAAATATAAAGAAAACTTTATATATTTATTTCTTTCTCTATTTCTCTCTCTCTCTCTCTCTCTCTCTCTCTCTCTATATATATATATATATATATATATATATATATATATATATATATATATATATATATATATATAATTCTCTATCGTTTTGGTGCTGAAAAAAAATTTAATTTCAAACTTGACTTCAATTCACGAGAGAGAGAGAGAGAGAGAGAGACTTTTTTTGATATATATTTTTCAATTGTAAGACACATTTCATTCACAACAAAATTCCTTTCAATTTTGTGTTTTTTTTATTTTTCTCAAAAAATTTATTTAAGTTTTTTATACCATTTCTTATTTTACTAACATTAGCCGTATATATATGTATGTATAATACTGTATATTGTATGTATGTTTTAGTTGATGCCTTTTTTGGAGGCATATATATTGTTGTATTTTTTTATTATGTGTAATGTGTTTTTAGTATGAAAAACAATAATAGACTGTTGATAATAATAATAATATAAACAATTTTAGTAATAATTAAAATAAGAGAAACACAAACAACAAAAACAAAATAAAACTCATATACAGTATAATAAAGTCCATACCTTTAAAAAAAATGTCAAAAACTTATTTTTCTGACACAAAAAAAATCTTTTTCGACATAAGTTTTAATTAAGTTTTAATTTCTTATTTTTTCTACTGAGAAATAATATATATATACAGTATATAATATAATAAAATGTATTGTAACTTATAAGTGATGTGTGTGTTAAGTGATGTCTGAAATAACAATAGCGTTGTATTATTATTATTATTGTACAGTACTTGTGTTATATAATAATAAGTGAAATTGAAATGAAAAATAAATTAGAAACAAACTAATATATACTAAGAAAGAAAGAGAGAGAGAGAGAGAGAGAGAGAGAGAGAGAGAGAGAGAGAGAGAGAAAGAAAGAGAGAAAACTAAGAGATAATTACAAAACAACACAAATGTGTCGCACAAATGAGTTTTCTGGAGAAAAGCCGGCGACTCATTAACTTAAAGGCCCATAACGTTAGTCATAAACTGTAGTATTACTACACATACATACAGTTTAAGCAAAAGCTATCAGTGCTCTCTCTCTCTCTCTCTCTCTCTCTCTCATAGCTTTCATATTACTGTTGTATTTCATTGATTGGAGAGAAAAATGCCACTAATTGTTGGCATATTTTGTTTGTGTTTCTTAATAATTACTGGCACTTCATCTATATATATATATATATATATATATATATATATATATATATATATATGAGAGGAGGAGAGTGTAAGTGTGTGTGTGATATGTATGTAAAAATGTGTGGCATATCTCTAGATGAGTAGTGGGGGTGTCAGCCATGAAGTGTAATATTTAACTGTTTGGATACCATCTCTTATATTATATATATATAATATGTTTGAATATGCTCTCAATCTTAGTGCACAAATGTCTTTGACTACCAGTAGTAGTAGTATCGGTGCGATAGAGATAGTGATAGTCAACCTCTTGACTATACAGACATACACACACACACACACACACCAACTGCACTGATAGAGTGGCACTAAAAAAACGTCTTCAAGATTTTGTAGTTTGAAAAGTCAGAAAAACTATTTGCCAAACCAGTCGACCATAACATACGAGTGCAACAAATAAACTATTTTTTTTCTCATCTCTCTCTCTCTCTCTCACACACATAGATATATAGACAGCATATTATCTACAGTATGTGTGTTTGCTCTCAATCTTTGTGTTGCAAAGCGACCGAAGCGAGACATACCAGTCCCCTATCATTCACTCACACATCTCATCTATTGCTATATATATATATTTTATATATATATATATATATATATATATATATATATATATATATACAGTATATCATACAATAAAAAAGTGAAGTTTACTCTATCATTCACTGGGAAGTCATACACTCTTATGATGATATGATAGTACAGAGAGAGAGAGAGAGAGAGAGAGAGAGAGAGAGAGACGAAAAATATATATACAGTAAATATAGTGAGTGAGAAAAAATTGCATCAAAAATTTTCTTATATATACAACAACAGTATATAAGAGAGAATTTTTATTTTATTTTTTTTTTAAGTTTTTCATTCAATTCATTCAATAGTTGCAAAAATCATTGTACAGTAAAATAATTTTCTTTGATGTGATAGTATGTCTACAATAAGTGAGTAGTGTATGTGTTTGGATAGGTTAGACACCACATATAACTTATATAAGCACAGGGATGGAAAGGGAGAGAGAGAAAGACGAAAAAAAAAGTGAATGAGAGATTAGATTTGATATATTAGTGAGGTTTGACATAAGTTTTACGCAAAATGACACTTTCAAACAATAGTGGTCGGGAGGGCACATGGAGGCAAAAATTTAGTTGACATACTAGTAGTAGGCTAGCGAGCACCGGTATAGAGATTATTGGCTAGAAAATCTGTCTATAACAATAGACAAGCCAGTAGTTAGTTAGTAGTTATATATATATATATATATATATATATATATATATATTGGTGGGCTCGTGAACTACCAGTGCCCTGGCATATGTATG